AGTTTAACTACTGTAGTGTATTTATAGCTACTGTAGTATATTTGTGAAGTTTAACTATTGTAGTGTATTTATAGCTACTGTACTATATTTATAAAGTTTAACTACTGTAGTGTATTTATAGCTACTGTAGTATATTTGTGAAGTTTAACTATTGTAGTGTATTTATAGCTCCTGTACTATATTTGTGAAGTTTAACTATTGTAGTGTATTTATAGCTACTGTAGTATATTTGTGAAGTTTAACTACTGTAGTGTATTTATAGCTACTGTACTATATTTGTAAAGTTTAACTATTGTAGTGTTTGTAGCTGTTATGTAACTAGTATACTTGAAGTCCCCGCTACAGTATCCAGTGTGTGCCAAGTCACTGCTACAGTATCAGGTGTACGTCAAGTCACTGCTACAGTATCCAGTATGTGTGTCAAGTCACTGCTACAGTATCCAGTATGTGTGTCCAAGTCACTGCTACAGTATCCAGTATGTGTGTCCAAGTCACTGCTACAGTATCCAGTATGTGTGTCCAAGTCACTGCTACAGTATCCAGTATGTGTGTCCAAGTCACTGCTACAGTATGTGTGTGTAAAATCACTGCTACAGTATGTGTGTGTAAAATCACTGCTACAGTATGTGTGTGCAAAATCACTGCTACAGTATGTGTGTGCAAAATCACTGCTACAGTATGTGTGTGTAAAATCACTGCTACAGTATGTGTGTGTAAAATCACTGCTACAGTATGTGTGTGTAAAATCACTGCTACAGTATGTGTGTAAAATCACTGCTACAGTATGTGTGTAAAATCACTGCTACAGTATCCAGTATGTGTGTAAAATCACTGCTACAGTATCCAGTATTTGTGTAAAATCACTGCTACAGTATCCAGTATGTGTGTAAAATCACTACTACAGTATCCAGTATTTGTGTAAAATCACTACTACAGTATCCAGTATTTGTGTAAAATCACTGCTACAGTATCCAGTATGTGTGTAAAATCACTACTACAGTATCCAGGATGTGTGTAAAATCACTGCTATAGTATCCAGTATGTGTGTCAAGTCACAGATACAGTATGTGTGTAAAATAACTGCTACAGTATGTGTGTGTCAAATCACAGATACAATATGTGTCACCAGGTTTAGTATCTAATGTGTAATATCGCTGCTATATATCTAACAAGTTTGTTAAATTCAAATGTTCTGTTACTATGAAATCACTATTTATATTAGTAAGATTCTGAATTCACTTGCCATTGCAAGTGTTTTAAAGTCACCTTTTATAGTAAGGTAATACATTTAATTCAATTCGAACACTTCACCTATGTATCAATACTTGCTTGAAAATTTAAAAACGTCATGAAGATCCACAATGCCCTATATAAAAGCTACAAACTATATAAATGTGCTACAGAATAAAAAAGAATCTCCAGTACAGATTCTCATTTCCATTTGGTTAAACATCTTGATGTTCTAACAAAATCAGTAAAACTGAAGTAGGGCTAGCTTCAAAGAAGAGAAAAAACGTTAAAAGCTAGAATGCAATGAATACAACCAGAAAACCAGACTAAAACAGTCTTAAACTATCGCTTGTAGAGTGCAAGAAACATAATTTTTAAACTCAGTAACATAGTTTGGTGTACTCTTCATTCTATGTATTATAAATATAAACTATTTTATATGTTACTATTTCTATCATGTTTAATATGTATACAATATATTATTTTATTTAACTATTTATGTTCTACTATATATAGGTATACATGCATATAGCAATGGAGAAACTTGCCCACTGTAAATATTCAGCCAGACTAATAACCAATCAGCATAGAGGAAACTGCATTTAACATCCACATAACATGTACTAATGATTAGAATTACACTCAATATCTCAACTTTTACATGTCTATGTTTGTGGACTGTTTGTTTTGGAGATTAGTCACAAAATGAGTGAATAGAAAAAACAACAACTACATATAAAAAAAACAAGGTTCTGTTCGACAACTAAAACATTTTCATAAATAAAATATGCAGTTGTAATTACACCTATACAAAAACGCCACTAATTTCTTGTTTAAAGAAATTCATTAACTATTTCCTAAAACTGACCATGTTCAGATTTACTATTCTTAACTTCTGTTGTACATAAAACACTTCACAAGAAACAAAATTAAACAGCCTCTTATGATAAAAAAAATACCACTGTTAAACACCTGTGAGAAAGGAATCTGTCAACTACCCGAGCCATCTGTGTGATAAGACGTACTCAACTCAATAATACTAAAAACACAAAAATGGGAATCGAATAAAAGCTACAGCTGGGTAAACTTGTGAAGACAGATATTCTGACTGATGCAAACAAATTCACCTAATAATGTGGAATAAGGACAAAACTGCATATAGCCGTCTTCACTAATTACCTGTCTGTTTATCTATTGAAATATATATTATATGGAATTTTTCTGACTAAACTGTTTTATTCTACAAAGGTTAAACAATTTTAAATCAAAATAATAAAAACAATATCTTTTGAAATTTCACGATAAATGATTTCTCAAAATTGCCCTTAATGTTAAGTGCTAGATTTTTGTACTGCAAGAAATAATGCTATCTTGTAAACATAACAATAAAAATTAAATCTGATATATTTATAAATGTTACAAATTTATTATATAAACAGAAAAGTAGGATATTTATTTTGTACTTCTTGTAATAAATTTATAAAATTTTAATCTACGAACATCAGAATTGTAATTAATGGGAAAATTCTTCAAACATTTAAATCTATAAATGACATTTTGCAAAGTCAAATGTCACACGCAAACTGTCAAATTACATTATTGTGTCATCTTCAGTAAATTATCTGAAAGTCACGATGCTACTGATCGTATAGTGATAACGAAATACAATTATAGAAAATTATAGTTTTGCAGAAATTGTAAAGTTTAGAATGCAAGAGTTAAAGATGTCATATGTTCTTAAACACGTACCTACTGCATTTTAAGCAAAACAGACAATCATGAAATACCATTGACACTATTCTTCAGTTTTACAATTATATTGTTTAACATTAACAGTAAACTTTTCTCATTAAGTAATTTATGTTAGTGTCTAAACTATTCTAATATTTAGTAGCATTCTTCGAACAATATCCAATATTCATTTCACATTTTTAATTGTAAGAAAAAAACCCTCTTTGTCTTACAAATTTAAAGCAAGGTAATAAAAATGAAATATTCAAGTGTTTAATCAATTATTAAAACCTTGCAATATTTAAAACTTCTGTACCAATAAATAAACCAGCAATTGTAAGTTTACAAGACTTACTAAAGTAATTATACAATAAGCTTGTAACTATAAATTAAAATCTTAGATGTAAATTAGGTGAAAAAAAAAGACTTGACAAATACACAATTTTTACCACACTTAAAGCTAGTAAGTTAACTATAAAGTCAGTAAAAATTGTAATCATTTGGAACTTCATTTTAGTTGTGAATGTGTTTTCACTTACGTGATTATATTTCCAAATATTAGATTTTTCAGCATAACTAAAAAAACCAAAATAAAAATTTACATCACTTGTAAAGAAATTTTCAGTACTTCTTAAGAAAGTATTTAAAAATCCAAAGAATCTTTTTAAGCAAATCAGGATGTGTTTCATGCTAACACTTGCTTTTCACACACTAGTCCTACAAACAAACAAATATTAACCTGAAGTTGTAAGCTTTTCTAGGGCAGCATGGAAAATCTTGAATAAACACAGCTATTCATGAGAATGATGACTGCAAATATATTAAAAAGTTATTTATAAACTGATAACCATAAGAATAAAACAAGGTCACTGAAACACTGAACTCACCCAAGTAACAATAACATTTTTACTAAACAATGATTTTTTTCTAAGATGTTAATTTTGAATACAAAAATGTAAACAACCAAGTATTCTTCCAAACAAATCAGTTTTTCTTGGGACTAGCTTCTTTCCTAATTTTTCACCATTTCAGACCTGTTAACATCAGCAACATGACTTCATTGACAAAACCTAAGTAAATATATAGTCTAATTTTTTCCTTTTCTTTCTTCTCCTCTCTAGCTTTTGCCGATTTCCCCTTTTCTACGGCCCAAAAATTCTTCCCAAATGTTCAAAAACTAACAGTAGTCACTATACAGTTTGGACACTTATTGTAAAAATTCAAATCTAGAAAAAAACAATACATATTTCACAAAATGTCTTTTCGTGTTGATTGTTTGTAATATAGTGTTAGTGTTTTAAGCAATGATGAACAAAATCACACTTAAAACGATTCTGAAGGCAAATTAATAATACTATTCACTGCTTCTTCAGTGAACGCTATACAAGTGTTCAATATCTGGATAAAAAAAAAAAAGGCAATGTAGTCTGTTACTGGTCTGTGAAAAATGCATTAAATCAAAATCTTTAAAAAGATTTACTTTTTGAGATTAACTTAGGGAAAAAACAACAACTAAGTTTTATTTGTAGTGTTTCACCAACACCACAAGCTAATCCACGCATATATACGATGACATATGGTAGGTTTCTTTGATATGGAATTTATATTAAAAAAATCAGGTTACTGTTGGACAAAAAAGGCTGTTTTTGAAATTATTAAGTGATGAGTTTTTTTTAAACAATTTTTCACCAATTTTTGCGTCAAACAAGCAGCCGTATTCTTAAAAATGTCTATTCCAGGATAAATTTCCAATAAGAATCTTACTTTTAGTCCAAAGAACCAAAAAATACTCTTACCTCACATTCCTATTTGCGATGCTACTTTATTCAGTATCTTATCTATTTGTAAAAATTCAGTAACTCTAGAAGAACTTCAACTAACTCGTAGCATGATTTATAGATAAAATCACTGGATAAAAATAACTAAAATTTACTTTTAGCCATAGACGTACAAACCACCTTTATGGCTCAAGCCACACGACCAGCAGTGGCTTATCTGTCTGGTTAGCTAAATTTCATTATTTTGCAATCAGATGTACATCATACAGGAAGGTTATATTCGTCAAAAAGGTCAGATAAACCTTCTGCATCATCAAGGGTAAAGCTGTAGTCATCCTCTGAAAGGGGGGGTTCAAAGTGTAGGAAGGGCAAAGGATCATCATTCTGATCTTCAGTTTGTAATAAGAAGTTCTTTCCCATGGGAGCCAAATCATCATCTTCAGAAATCAATGCATATTTTAAAGCTGGATCTCCTACAAAATACAAAAAAAAGTAAAAGCTACAATAAATTTTGTCCTTTGCTATTATTATCATTAAACCGAGAACCTAAATAGTTAGTGTAGAACTCACAAGGTACACGAAACATTATAACTGAACAGTTTTTTTCAAAGTGATGCAATACTTAGAGTACTACATTCATTTTAATACAAGCTGAAATTTTTAGAATAACAGACTAGGTAACACAAATATTAAAGTACTCTTCATGGAATGATTAAGAAAGCTTAAAAACATTTTCTTCAAATTCTTTTACTTAAATCAAAGTAATGTGTTTAATGCTTATTAAATTAAAACATATCCTTAGGTCGGTTAATTTATGTTCAACTATATATATATATATATATATATTAATGTTCAACTATGTAATTTATGTTCAACTATGTAATTTATGTTCAACTATATAATTAATGTTCAACTATATATATTAATGTTCAACTATATATATTAATGTTCAACTATATATATATTAATGTTCAACTATATATATATTAATGTTCAACTATGTAATTTATGTTCAACTATATAATTTATGTTCAACTATATAATTTATGTTCAACTATGTAATTTATGTTCAACTATGTAATTTATGTTCAACTATGTAATTAATGTTCAACTATATATATATATTAATGTTCAACTATATATATATATTAATGTTCAACTATATATATATTAATGTTCAACTATATATATATTAATGTTCAACTATATATATATTAATGTTCAACTATGTAATTTATGTTCAACTATATATATTAATGTTCAACTATACATATATTAATGTTCAACTATATATATATTAATGTTCAACTATATATATTAATGTTCAACTATATAATTAATGTTCAACTATATAATTAATGTTCAACTATATAATTAATGTTCAACTATATATATTAATGTTCAACTATATAATTTGAGATAGAAAAATTTTTTTAAAGATATTTTAAGATGAAAGCATCGATGATATACAAAAAAATAAAATAACATGCCACAGACACTTTTAACAGGACCTCTCCCCCAACCAGAAACACCTGGTGGCAAAGATAAAAGATAGAGTACTAATCTCATTTTGGTAAAAGTTATAAAGAATGTAGCATACAATGAGATATGACAATTACAATATAAAATTTTCAACTCTGACCACATCACTAGCAGAAACCCCATAGTTCAGTACTTCTTGATGCATAGCCAAAAGGTCTGCAACATAAGCTCTATTCTTCTTGCCCATCATTGCATGTTTTTCATACCAGTCCAGTTCTTCAGCAAATACCTCAAAGTCCTGCTGACCTTTGACATGTAAGATTCCAAGTTACAAACCTGTGCAGCTTCTGCAGATGAGATCAAAATGGACTTTGACAGTTCTTGTTGAGAAAATCTATCAAGCTGTGAAAACATTCAAAACTCATTTTGGTAGTAACAAGGGCCTTCAAACAATGAAGAAAGGTTGTGTAATTGGATTTGAAATAAAAAAAAAAGAGCTAATCAATTCGTATGTATGACCATTGCTGGTAATATGGTACAGCTGCCCCGAAAACCCCGTCTCTCTTGAACTGCCCATAACTCCCGATTGAAATACGTTATCATCAGATTCCACGTTTTCAAACAGCATATGCAACATCTCCAAGAAACAATTAGCAAGTTTTCTTATCCCTTGCCTTGCCACTGAAAAAAAAAACTACTTTGTCTCTGGCTGAGGGAACGATTTTGTGTTAATAGCTTTACAATAGAAGTCTAGTAATGTTTGTGTTAATAGCTTTACAATAGAAGTCTAATAATGTTTGTGTTAATAGCTTTACAATAGAAGTCTAGTAATGTTTGTGTTAATAGCTTTACAATAGAAGTCTAGTAATGTTTGTGTTAATAGCTTTACAATAGAAGTCTAGTAATGTTTGTGTTAATAGCTTTACAATAGAAGTCTAGTAATGTTTGTGTTAATAGCTTTACAATAGAAGTCTAGTAATGTTTGTGTTAATAGCTTTACAATAGAAGTCTAGTAATGTTTGTGTTAATAGTTTTACAATAAAAGTCTAGTAATATTTTGTAGAGAAAGAAAAATAATACTGATAAAAATGTCTGCAATCAATAAGTTTTAAACCTTACGAAAAATTATATCATAATAAGTAATTATTATATGCAGGATCCAAACTGTATATTTGTTCCTTCATTAAGTTGTACAATCACGTAATTTACAAAGTTTGAACCACACATAAAAAAAAGTTTATCTGAAATTTTTGAAGAATCAAAGTATCATGATTTTAATCTTCATAGTAAAATTCACAAAGAAACAAAGCAATACAAAATCCTGATATTATTATTATTATTACCTTTCAAGCTATCTCTAGAATCAGTATCTTCAACCCCTGAAGACGTCCCTTCATTTCGATGTTGTCTTTCCTCATCATCTGGACACAAGTAAACCTCAATTTCTCCATTTTCACTCTTTAGCCAAATCTGTAGTTTCTAGAGGACAATATATTTAAAAGAAAATATTTTAACATTCCAGATCAGGAAAAAAGAACACTTTTAAGCACTAAAACCTCAATAGTAACAATCATACATACTTCTCGAGGATCAGGCACCTCCAGTCTCGTATCAGGAGGAGCTTTAACTGCCACTACTGTCTGATCAGCAAGTGTTGGCGTGCAGCGAAGGTCACGGTATGTTACATAAGCATATGTAATCTAAATGTCAAGGAAAACCAGTTTGTACTATTAAGACAGGACAATAATATATTGCTTGCTAAATATGTACAGTTAATTATCAATGATTAAAGATACACCGTGTTCTTCTGTCAAGCGTAAGTGACCTTAACAAAAACTAAAAAATTTGGTATATTGTCTGTAGAGGTAAAAAGAAGCTTTCCAGTTTTCATAGCTTTAATTAGACCACATTAAACTTATAACATTGAACAGGAAAAGTTAGAGTAATAGCTCATTCATAACATGCCTCTTCATAAACATCACAGAAGTAAAAAATACACCAAGGAGATCGTTGTCATATTGTTAAACTTAACACACACACACGAAACAAAGAAACAAGAAGTAAAGAGAACACCATGGATATCACCTTACAACTGTTAAACTTAATATACACACACGAGACAAAGAAAGGACCAGAAGTAAAGAATACTCCACGGAGATCACTGTACAGTTGTTAAACTTAACACACACACACAC